GAGGCAATGCGCCATGGCGACAGGGCGTTGCAAACGGAAGTGGGAGGACTTCTGCAGCGCAAAGTTACGCGGGTGCCGACTGTGAGCCCAGATAAGAGACGGGGGCGGATCGAGGGGTTCAAAATTTTAGGGGCTTTAGGGGTTAGGGTTTAGGGGTTTTAGGGGTTAGGGTTTAGGGGTTTTAGGGGTTAGGGGGTTCAGGGTTCAGGGGTTTAGGGGTTTAGGGGGTTTTAGGGGGTTTTAGGGGTTTAGGGTTTAGGGTTTAGGGGTTTAGGGTTTAGGGTTTAGGGGCCATAGGCCCCATAGTAGTTCCTTTTCGGGGCTTCAGATTTAGAACCCTATAGGGTAATCCCCAGAAGGAACTACGATGGATGGGGCCTATGGGTTTAGGCTTCAGGGCTTCGGTTGTGCCAGGATGTTGTAAAGTTTCATTCTAGGGTTTAGGGTTTAGGGTTTAGGGTTTAGGGTTTAGGGGGCCTTTGGAAGCCCTGCGATGTACGGTTCGGTCAGGGTTTCATGATCGCGATGAGGGTCTGGGCCCGAGCTAAGCGTTTAGGGCTGAAGCGGTTCAACTCCGACCGCATGGCAAAGGCACCGCTGACGCAACATTCTTGCCCCTGCAAACCCTCCCAGCATTTTCCGTTTTTGCTGTTACTGCATATACATGTAGCCATATTCATACACCCGAAGCGACCTTCTAAGAGATAAATGCAATTGCAATTCTTCCTCCCCCCGCATATATGTCAGACACCTTGGCCTGAGACGGCTCATTTTCCCGGTGCCCACTGCTGTCGAAGAAAGCTACAGCTACAGCTCTTGCGCCAAGAGAGCTCAAATCCTGCGGCAGCTCTATAGCTGCTTTTGCGTACCAGGAACATTGTTTGGTTTACATCACTAAGGGCCTATTGTGAAGCTTTTGTCAGGGTCAATGTTAACTGTAGGGGGTTCTGTAAGGGTTTAAAGTTTAATGCTGTATTAGATGAAGTAAAGGACCTTAACATGATAGGGAGATAACAGAACTACCAAACGTGCGAAACTGCCGCCGAGTCCATCCGCATTTGCCGATGCTCACATGCCCTGACTCTCCGCCACCAAGTGCTCCTCCATCGCCCTGCAACACAAAATAGCTTGGGATTTTTGGCCATAACATGAGCAAACCCTATGGTCCACAGACCAGACACGTCACTGGCTTCAGTGCCACGTCCTTCCTGCGCCCTAAATGTTATTTCGAACCAGCATTTCTGCAACTAATATAGCGGCCTTAGTTCAATGATTATAGTATTAGGGTTTTGGGGGGCCCGTTATACTATAATTATACGAAGGAATTTAAAAAAGGATGTAGTTATTTAGGCCCCTACATTTAACCCTGAACCCTAAACCCTAAACCCTGAACCCCATTCTCCAAACACGGTGCCCTCTACCCTATAGAGCCCTAGAGCACTTAAGAGCTCAGTCAAGTTCGTCCGAGCAGTGAATGCCGGGGCTTCAAGCGCTTTAGGGTTCAGGGTTCAGGGTGTTGGGTGCAGGGGTTGAGAGGGTTTAGGGCTATAGGGTTTATAGGTTTAGGGGTTTAGGGTTCCATTCACAGCATAGTACTTGGGTGGTCAGAGTATAGGCTTGCGGTTTAGGGTTTAGGGTTTAGGGTTGGGGACCCTACTATGGGCGTCCAGGTCCCTTTGAAGCTTGAGCCGCTCCAGTTCAGTTTCGCTGCCGGAGTTTCTCCGACATTTATCTAAGCTCCACGGCCCAAAAGGGGAGCTTCCCTGCAACAAATAAAGGCACAGAGCACGCGGTACCTAAGGGCAGAGCAGCATAAGAGCAATGCCACTACAGCACGCAAAAAACATATCAGCATCATCATCGTCCTCAGCATCACCGCAATCATTCTTTACCATTCTCATCTGTGTTGGGGTAGGGGGGTAGGGGGAAGGCGAGGGTTGCGCGATCTCGCGCGAGAGTTCCAAAAGCACGTCGACATTTTCGAGGATGATGACATGCACGAGCACCATCCCTGTGACTGTCTGCTCGGATGAGAGAATGGCTTGGCTGCTGTGGGAGAGGGGTGGGGGCCCACTGACGCGGCGACGCGAGACTATCTATCTATCTATCTATCTATCTGTCTAACTGTCTGTCTAGATATAGCAATCCTTTTTTAAGGCCTAAAGAGTTAGTTAGGGGCTACACTAATTAAAGGATTGTGGGGTCTGAGTTGTAGTTTGTAGGATTCAGCTCTTCGGTGGGGTGCCGATTTTCGCTAGAAAAGGGCATGCTCAGTGAATGCTGCAGGCACCCTCGGAGCATTTGCGCGAGTTAGGAGATGTGAGGCTCTTCGGCAGAGTCTAAAATGCACTGAAGGCGGAAACGCAACACTTCCCAACACCCAAAGCATCCAAAAAGACCCCTAACCCCCCAACCCTAAACCC